TCAAATGTCTCATTACCGCTGAGAAGTACTTTTTGCCATTTAAGTTATAGCGTTTTTCACTGGGCAGAACTGAGTGCGCACTGGAAACTCGTCGAGTTCAGGCGACACTGTCGGAGTGCACCAAAAGTGCAAGTTTTTTGCACTCCCAACTAAACACGTCCATTATTCTCAGTGCGGTTTTATGGCGCATTGTGCCTCTGTATTTGATTTGTATGGTGACTTTGAAAAAAGGAAAGCCGCAAAAGAGCGACATCGGGAAAAGTTAAACTTGATACGTAAGTTCGTCAAACCGAATACAGAGTAATAAAATAATGAAAACTAGCCAAAGAAGAAAGAAAAACCAAATATAGTAATAGGTGTAATATTAGAACTGTTAACTATGGCTGTTTTCTTTTTAATTTCTGATAGTCATCAATGAATAACAAAGATAAAAAAATGCTCGTATCGACTGTGTTCATATTAAAAGGAAAGCAGCTTATATATAAATACTGAAAGTGTCAATCGTAAGATGTTTTTTTTATTAATAATTTTGTTTGTTTCTTACATAATTTTGTTTTTTTCTACACTAGTTTTTTTTCTCTATCGACATCTGTGATGAACTATTATTTGTGATTAACTTTAGAAGAATATAAACTGTAGTTAATCTTTAGTTTATTGCAATAGACATTGCAGTACCAATTATCGACTATTATTCGCTCCGTGCGTTTCAGGTCGCGCCATCTACCGCTATCGCCATGCAAATAAAAGTGGAAACAACGAGATATGTTTACAGGCAGTTTGCAAAAAAAAATAGAAAAAACAACTTTAACGTGTGATTATTACCAAAGCTTCTTGTGCAATAGATGCAGTGTATTTTTTTACATTTTACTGTTAATAATTTCGGTAAGTAAAAATTGCTATACGCGCATAATCTATGATTGTTACTATTTTGATGTTATTAGTTATCGTTTGTGTTATGCCTGTAACGTTCCCGCTTATTGTTGCCTGTATTTATGTTTTTCTTATCTAACGTCTTTCGCTATTTTTCGACCTCGTTATTACTTTCAATTCGACTGTTTCGCCGGCCAGTTCATATGGCGATAATCGCCACACTATATAATTGGAGGACTATATAACAGCGGTATTGCACAGCGGTATTTATGTCACTTTAATTACTGGAACTCCTATTTTTTATATCAGAAAACAATAAATAATAACTACTGCTAATTAAATATTGCTTTAAAAAATGTCAATAATAAAAAGCAAAAAATGTAGATTCAATAAAGTTACTTTTTCATACGTTATATTGAAAAAAAAAAAAATATTTTTCCAGATTTCTATTCCAAGTTGCAGCAACTGCTGTATTTGTTATGGATAAAAAATGGAGATTGTGATAACAACTAAATTTCAAAAAGTTACCCATGAAATACTCTTTCAACCGGAAACTATTCCAAAAGGGAAGCAACTAGTTAATGCTGGTCATGTTTGCGATGTTAAGGAATGTAGGCGAAATAATCAAAGTTACCTTATTGAAGCTCAAGTCATAAGACAAACTTCAGTGTCATCTCAACCATACCGTACAAAGTTAAATGTAACTTTAAAAATATTTCTATTAATTACATGAATCTATGTACATTACATCAACAATTTTATGTAAATATTTCTAGATTGATGCTGATCGTAAGGTAACTCTTGTTTCATGCACATGTGTTTACAACAAGAGCGGAAAATGTAAACATATAGCTGCTCTCATTCATTATATTAATAATAATAAGCCTAGTTGAATAGGAAAATATTCCACCCTGAGTTCACTATTCTCTCACCGGAGCGCTTCCGTAGCTCGTAGCTATCCCCTCCAACCGACTGCACAGAGCGAATAGGGAGAGGGGGAGGTAGAGGGGGAGAGAGAGGAAGAGAGAATTATATATATACATATAATAATATTAATAATCTTTGCAGAAACTTTGTTGTCTCCAAATTTTATGATCTTTAGCGTTATATCAATTAAAAAATCAAGCACTCGATTGTTCTGCCTGAAAGTTATTGCATGACATACTCCAAATCTTTACGACACATCTCTAAGGCAGACTTTATTCTCAGCACACCTATGGAGTGTTCAATTACTATTAACACAGAAATTGTGAGTAGTAGTTCAATACAAATAAATATTAACTTATTATCACAAAAATGATGACATATCCAATTCTGCGGTGGTAGGTTTACTACCTCCGTGACTCTGATCAAATGGATAGAATCCGGAATATTCATAAATTTCTATTATTTTGTAAGCTGTTGTTCTTGCAATCCAAAAATGACTTTTGAACTGTAAAAATAATATAATTTAATTATTAATATAAAACATGTAAGTCTGGCCAGTTGGTGTCGTTATTATTTAAGGATCTTCTTTTTTTGAAATTAAAAATATTTATTTACTATTCGCATACATTACAACAAACGTTTTGACCTTTCGTTCGGGTTCTCTTTAACGTTCCTTTGTAAACAAAAAATATCCGCAATCCGTTATATATGTTTAATGCAATACATATAATTAATAATTTTAAGGTAAACATATTTTAATTAATATTTTTACAATATAAATAAATATTTTAAGATGAATACATTTTTATTGCTTTTCTTTTCGCTTGTCTATTATTTTAATCAGTCCTTATACTAGGATTGAAGACATTATTGTTTACAAATCGAAAGAATACTGAAGAGGCCCCAAACGGAGAGTCGAAACGTTTGTTGATATATGCGAATAATAAATAATATTTATAATTATAAAAAAAAAGAAAACCTTCAAATAATAACGACAACGTCCAGCCAGGCTTACATGCTTTATATTAGAATTTGATTTTTATTTCGGAAAAGCCTATGAAATAGATAAATATAAAATAATATAATATAATATTTGTATATAGCATTGATACTACATATATTTATACAATACATATTACCTTTACAGAAATTTAATATACTGTAAGTGATTATTTGGCTAGTGATTGATTACTTATTTTGAGTATTAAAAGTACTGTTTTTAATGATTTTAATACTCAAAATAAGTCATTAATTACTAGCCAAATAATCACTTACAGTATTAAATTTCTATAAGGGTATTGTTTCACGTAATACAATAATCTGCAGAAACAATAAATATATATGTACTTACATACTTATTATAAGATTATGCATTATTTGAACAAAGTTTTCGATCTTTGGAATTTT